ACTTCAAATGTTGTTCCTTGCTGTTTTAAGGTGTTTTTAAGTGTTTTAGTATGTTTTGTTTTTATAACTCCCAAAATCACATAAAATTTGAAAAACATGTTTTGAAAAGCCTAAAAAGAGTGTTTTGAGTCGTTTTTGTGTGTTTGTGTCTTAGGGTACCTTCCAACACAATGATGAGGATTTGGTTTGTAATTGCATGACTGTTAAAAAGAGTTATAAACATAGAGAAAAGTTTGATTTACTCTTGGTATATGCTTGGTTATGGTTATAATGTATGACTTCACATGCAATCATAAAAGAAAAATTCGTTTTTGTAACATGCTTGAAGGAAGGAACTCAAATAAACGCTACAACCCTGTGAGACTCGAGCCATTACCTTCTTTGGAGAGTTTTAATCTGTGATTCTTTGTTTTCTAAAGTTGTTGCATGATCTCATTATTCCTTGCTTGGTTGCTACTTAGAATGCAATTGTATCATGATAGAACTAAATGCTAGAACTTATATCCGTTTCATTCAAAGCATGACATTGAATTGCATAACATATATCAAGATGAAGTTGTGTAGTTGCCACCATAGCCAAATAGCCTTACTTCCCATATTTCGTATTTGTTGTAAGTTTTAACCCCGTTGAGCCTTGTTTAGCCTTTATTCTTTGTTTACCCACATTATCCTCACCTAGCCTAGTGTAGGACAGTCCACACCCTTGTTCTTAAAAGATAGTGAGCATGACTTAAATGAGTTCCTTTTGAGTACATTATGAAAGAAAATGAGTGTGGGGGAGAGAATGTTTTGTTCTTAAGTGTTTATGTATGTTTGGAGAGTCAAAAGAAAAAAAAAAAAAAAAAAAAAAAAAGTGAAAAACATATGAAAAAGAAAAACAGAAAAGAAAAGAAAGAAAGAAAGAAAGGAAAAAGAGCTTGTTCCCCCTGTTTGTTCGAAAGTTGAGTTTTCATTCAAAAGTGAATTCTAAGTTAATTCAAATGCTTTGCTCGCTATTTCTTTAAGAACCTTTGTTTTCCTTATCCCTTTTTTGTTAGCCAAACCCCTTTAGCCCCGTTTCAACCCTTATGCTTCTATCTTGATCGTTATGTGTTCAATAATGTGGAGTTTGGAATTGATATGAGCTTATGAAATCACTGGTTCTCATTCTAAGTAGTAGCATTCCATTCATGAGATCATATTCATGTCATTATCGTAAATCCAGAAAATGCTTTCTTTTGTTATAACATATGTGAGATACTAGTCTTTCATGTTTACATCAATCTCTCACATATAACTAGTGTAGGGTGTGTAGTCAGAAAATCTGTGTGAAAAACGAGAGTACATCTAGTAAGGAATTGAGGGAATTCTCTAAGGCATGTTACTACATTCAAAACATGGTTTTAAATGTTTAATTGTGAACTAGTATGTGGTGACTATGATTAAGAATGTACTTAAGTGTAAAGATGGCTAAAATCTGTGGGAATAATGATTTTCAACTTGTCATGTGCATTGGAAATCCCTGAGACGATTGTTGGAAGGTGTAGGTTGTGTTTTGTTCATTTTGTTTTGTTTTTGGTTTCTTTTGTTTTGTTTTGCTCGAGGAGTAGCAAAAGCTAAGTGTGGGGGAATTTGATAGGAGCATATTCATGCTACTTAAATGGCTAGTTCTCGTGCATTTACGTTATGTTTCATTAGTTATTTTAGTCCTTTATGCTTCTTTTGTGTGTTTTCAGGTTCTAAGGGCAAAGTATGCAAAAGGATGCCTTTTGGAGCCTTTTGGAGCAAATTAGAGAGTGGAATGGATTGCATATGCTTAAAGCCAAGTAGATGGACGAAATTGAAGACCAAACCATTCACTTATCACTTATCAAACCATTCACTTATCACTTATCATAACCTTTCACTTATCACTTATCATAACCATTCACTTATCACTTATCATAACCATAACCATGCATTCCATCCTTTAATTCACCCACATGCACTCATAATCATTCACACCTTGCAGCCACATGCATTTCCAACCTAATCACTCACCCACACAATCTGCCATCATTCACACAAACACCATCATTGCCGTGCATCCCATTCCATCTCCCATTTCAGATTGCATTCCATTCATTCCAGCCAAGCCACATGCAATCCCTTTAATTAATTCAACCTAGCTGTCATTGCACATGCATTCATTATTCACTTTGCATTCCCTTTGCATTCAGCCACATGCACTTATTCTTTCATCATTGCACCACCAATTCAACACATGCACTCCCATCCTTTACCATTTCAGCACATGCACTCCCATCCTTTACCATTGCAGCCACATGCATTTCCCCCCTTTCATTTCTGTCAAAGCACATGCACTCCCACCCTTTAATCACATGCATAAATCAGCCACATGCATCTCCCATCACCATTCCAGATTTCAACCAAGTTCCTAGCTGTCATATTCCCTCATTTTCACCTATAAATAAGTATCCATTGCAGCCACAATTCATTCATTCCCATTCATACACAATTCACTCTTTCATTATTCAGAATGTAGACCATCAAACCACCTTTGCCGTGCCCTCCCTACCAATCCAAACACCACCAGAAATCATCCCATTGTCGTGGCCTCCCTCATCCATTTCCATAATTCCCCAATCCATTCAACACACCAAAACTCACCTTAGACCTTGTGCTACAACGTAGAGGAGGAGAAGAGTGCCTAAACGTTCATACAATTCAAGTTTGAGTTGTTGGAATGTTTAGGTGTTTCTTTTCCTCGATTCCAATGTTTAATTTCAATTCTCTTTGTTTTGTACGTATGAGGAACTAAACCCCCCCTTGGCTAGGGGGGATTCGAAATATATGTTTATGCTTGCATTTTGATTTGATTACTTCTAATTGCGTTTCATAAGTTGTGGATTCAATTTGTTTAACTGTTTGATTGATAACCTATTTATGTATGTTTATTGAGAGTGCACGCTTAATTTTCATGCATGAATATGACACTAGAATATAAGTGAGTTTCACCTAATAGTTATGAACTTATATTCACAAGTAGTGGAGGTTGCTTATAAACAATCGCGTTAAATGAATTCTTGGCAAGAGTATCATGCATTCATAGTTACAATTGCCTCGTCAACACTTATAATTTTCATAGAACATAATGATCTCTCATTGTATCTCTTCTATGCATTCATGTTGAGAACCATTGGAGAATGATTTGAATTGTCGCATGCATCATCCAATTCAATAACATAAGGAAAATTTGAAGGTTAATTAGTGCATCACGGTTAACTTGGGGTGTTGAGCATCATGGTTTATTGAAAAGCAATTGGAAATCGTTTTATTATGCAAGTGTAACATGTGTGGAGATGAACCCCTTGGCTAGCATCCATTCATTCCATTCCATCACATTCATACTTACAATCTGTTTTAATTAGAATCTGTGCAATTAGTTTAATTTCGTCCAAAACTCAATCCCCCTTACTTTAATGTCCAAATTAGTTAGAAAGTGTTTTAGTTTGTGTTTATAAGTGTTTTGATTCAATTTGTTATACAAATTCGTCCAAATTCACCAAAGTGCTCAAAACTGCCCAGAAAGTGTTTTTAAGGCAGTTTTGAGTGTTTTGGGTGATGTTTGAGTCTTTTGGTTTGTTTTAGTGTTTTAAGCGTTTAGTTTCGCATTCTTTGAGTTTAGTTTAGTGTTTTAAACTTTATTTTACGTTTTTGAGTCAGTTTCCAATTGATTTGCAATCCCTCCTAATCCCCGGTTAAGAACGATCCCTACTTATACTTATACTACAATTGTCAAAAAGAGGGTTTAATTTGAGTGCGTATAATTTTCGCATCAGTTTTGTTGTATCATAGAAAACTTCGAGCTTTTATGCCCCAAAATAATTCTACTATTTTTTTTTCATGAGTGTGATTTGAAGTACTTGTGGTTGCTTAATTATGTATTTCTTGATAATTTGTATGGCTCAATTGGTGTCCTGACTTATGGTAAGGGTCTACATGTTGTTTATTGAGTTAATAAGGGGTGATAGCATTCCTTTCACCACTTGTGATTAAATTTGGCAACAATTAATAACAGATTGGTGGTTTTAGAAGATACAAAGGTTAATTTCTTGATTCGTCAATTGTATCACATCATTTGTTTCCAACCACATAGAGCGGTTGATTTTTTTCTTTTTCTAATGACTAGTTGATCTTAAATTACTTCAGTTAGTCTAAGAATGAAATACCTTAAATTGAGGCATACCTTCAACTTTAAGGCAAGAAGAAGAGAAGAAGGGAAATGAGAAAATAGAAAATAAAAAGGTTAAGAGGAATAGCATTAACATAGATAGAATAGAAAATTCTCTAAGCCGCATGGACTATTCTTCGTAAGTCAGGAGGAGGAGTCAATGTCAAAGTTGTTGACTGACGAATGGTATATATATTCTCATTTCACATCATCCTTAACCTTCCGCCTTCTAACTATAGTACCAAGCCTCTCACAAAATCTTCAATGGCCCTTTGTTGTAGTTCAAAAGAGCCGACTGGTCCAACTCTGTTTGCTAGCCCTGACTAAACCCACCCAAATCTCTCACTAGTTATTCTGCTTCTCAGTTATCTCCCGTATCATAGGCCCTCATCCTCCTCCGTTGCAAAACCCTCAAGTGCGTCGTTGCAAAACCCTCAAGTGCATTCACTACTGTCCGATCTAGGGTTACTAGCTTTCAATAATCGATATTCAGATGCAAAATCAATTGCATTGATATACTCCAAGTACTTTTTTCACTCATTTTCCCTCCTATTTGTTTCCACAAAAAATTTACCATATTGGCGTATTAATGTGTTATATATGTGTGTGTGTGTGTGTGTGTGTGTGTGTGTGTGTGTGTGTGTGTGTGTGTGTATTGAAGGATAAAGTACTTACTCGAACATGTTTTTGTTTCTCTTATTGTTGAGATAGAAAGTTGATTGGAAACAGTAAGGGAGAGATAATAGGAGTGTTGTGGAAGTAGAAGAAGGGGAGAGTAGGAAGAGCAATGTTGATGGGGTTGGGATGGGTGGGTACGATTTTGGTAGGAGCTGGTTGGCTTGCTTTAGGGTATTACTTTGGCGTGCATCACCCTCCTGCTCACATTATTTTCTTAGCCAGACTCGTTAAGCAAGCTGCACTTGCCAATGATTCTAATAATGGAAAGAATAAGACGAAGAAGAATAAGCATAACAAGGACAAGCCTAAAGACCCTCTAGAGATTGAAAATCTCGCCGACACTCTTGAAGATTTCAAAATGGTATCGCTTTAAGTTTAATCTGTCTCTTTTCCTTTAATACTTGATGATTTCAAAACACTGATTTGCTACATTATATTTGACAATATTGGATTGCTCCACCTATGTTTTTAGTTGTTTGTTTCCGTATTCCTTTAGTTTGTGGTAGGATGTCCATGTGCGACCTATTCACTTTCTTGATTGTTTTCTTCAGGTTTTGGTGGTCATGAAGGATATAAAGATGGGTAAAGGGAAAATTGCCGCTCAATCAGGTAGTTATAGATACTTTTTGCTTTCCTTTTGTGTTTGGTGCACTAAAATTCGAACTCTTTATCTGAATGTTTATGTTCATCATTTAGTCATGCGACCTTAGGCCAATATAAAAAGGTCCTCCATCGAGCACCACAAGCTTTAAATAGGTAAACTAACACACTACTCTGTGATTTTTTTCGCTATCAAACAATGTGGGATTTTACATACCTTTCGTGTAATGGTGTTGTTTCAATCCGCAGGTAGGAGATGTGTGCACAGCCTAAGTTGTAGTGAAAATAGAAAGTGAAGCAGATATGCTAGTTTTGCAAGTCAGTATTTATACAAATCTTTTTATATTTTCGATGAGTGCAACTTTATGGTTAATGTAAAAATCGTTGTCGGTTTTGACAGGAAAGGGCTAAATCGCTAAATTTATTGACACACATTACAATTGATGCTGGCAGGATTCAGATTGCACCAAGTCAGTTCCTTACATTTCTATAGCTGAGATTAATCTGGATTTTAATAATTTAAGCTTTTGGTGATGTCTATGTCAGTATTGCCAATCAAATAAAACACTATGTTCACTCACAAAAATTTCAATATATTACTAAGAAGTGGAGGCTTTCATCATCACAACTTGAGAAAGATTGAATTAAGTGGATCAGCATAATGCTCTCGAACAGTGGGAGTTTCCAAGTTTTGTGTACCGCCATTCTCTTTGAAGTTTTTTAACTGTATAATCATGTTGTTTTCTGATTACTGCTGCAAACAAATATGCTGTAACTTGTTTTATTTGTTCCCCATATGCGCCATGAAATTTATATTCTTCACTAGTTCTTATTCAGTTGACCATCCAATGTTACTTATTTGGTCCAATGTTTTCTTCCAAATTCAAGGACAGTGATGGCTATTCTTGGTATGTTTGTCTTCTCCATTATCTTGTCTTTTGATGAGACTTTTTAATTTGTACCCAGAGATCACTTACTTATAAAAGGAATTTTGTAAGTCTTTAAGTATAGTCCCCATGCGCGTGAGGTTGTCGACTTAGATTAGGAGTTTGGGAGGCCAAGCCCCTCTATATTATGCTGGTAGGATATTGTGTAGGAGAGGTTTTGAGCTTGTGAATGTAGCATACCGAAGTCTTATGTCTGACAAAATCTTCAAAAAAATATTGAAATGGAACTTAGATTTTCCCTCATTGCTTTACTGCTACTTGACTTATTCCAAATTTCCAACACTTGTGTGCAGGACTAGTTGAAGTAGTTGATGATGTGGCAGGTGGACTGAAGTTTTCTTGATTTCAATAGTGTTTATCTTATTGCAATGTGAGTTTCAAGGATATGACTTGAGTCATTGCCATTGGCAGCAACATCAACCATACCGAAAGAGAATTGTTCCAAGTTCATATTCGAATATCCATTATCTGAAGGACCCCAACTTAGAAATACACTTGTGTCCTATCCCAAGGATTGATTATGATGATGAAAAATTGCTGAAATTGCATTATTTATTATCATTATGAAACTTATACTGTACTACTGTAAGGATACTATTTTTTCGAGTTTTTACATTACTTGGCATTGATATTGAATTCAAAACATAAGCGATGTTCCTGGCTTTGCGTTTGGTAGCATTGTCTCGTCATCTTATCAATGTTTGGTTCTCTTAACTCTATTTTCTTGTTAAGTTTTTGGACAATGATAAAAAAAGCATTGTAAGGCGACGTTGCAAACGTAACGTATACTCTCTACAGATATTGGCTGTTTCAATTTACATGATCCTGATAAAGCACAAGAAGCATGGAACAGTAAGTGATTCACAAATTACAACTGCAACTGATCCTTCGGCCATCACTGTCTCCATATTTGCTGTTTCTATTTTTAATCATTTTTAGAAAGAAAGCCGTATTTATCGAAGGAAAATTAAACAAAATAAAAAATAAAATAATAATAATCATCACCTTTGCAACTAATACTCCCTATAGATATTGCCTGTTCCAATTTACATGATCCTGATAGAGCACAAGAAGCATGGAACGGTAAGCGATTCACAAATTACAACTGTAACTGATCCTTCGGCCATCACTGTCTCCATATTTACTGTTTGTTGCCTGAGAGGTTCGAACTCTCATGGGAGATTCCCATGCACCTAGCAAGCACACACCTTAACCACTCGGCCAATGCGACTGTTGATGATGTTGTATTATTCTTTATTCCAACAAGTAAACCAATATCTGAAGTTGAATAAGCTAGAAGTGGACAATAAGAAATTGTTGTGATGATCATTACGTATCAAAACACAAACACAAAAATGAGAATCTCATCATTCTTTCAACTTCCAGTCAAATAAATAGAAAAATCACTCAAAAACGTTGTTGTGTTATACATAGGCAAAAGTGAGAGAGTGAACATTTGTTAGCAGTCGAAGTAGAACGAGAGTAATGAATCACATTATTTATTTTTGTAACTATACCAAACAATGAATGCGGGTAAAATAAAAAAAGAGGGGGAGGGAGATTGGTACTATTTCTACTTTTGTTCCTTGTGTAAGGGAAAGAGTTGGCACAAATTGTTTACTAATATATGTAGATAGAAGGGCGGGAGGTAATCTTTATATTACAAGAGGTAATCTTTATATTACAAAGGTCCATTTATATAGGGAAGCCTTACATCCGTAGGAAACAATGGTATGAATGAAAAGTCATCATCCATCTTAACAATTCTTCTCCCTAAGACTTTTCCACCTTAATCTTTTGATTCTTGTCAGAAGAGAATGCTTTGAATGATGATTTTATACAAGGTGTACAACCTGATAGGAGCATATTCATGCGACTTATATGGCTTGTTCTCGTGCATTTACGTTATGTTTCTTTAGTTATTTTAGTACTTTAAGCTATTTTCGTGTGTTTGTAGGTCCAAAGGGCTAAAGGAGCAAAAAGATGCATTTTGGAGACTTTTGGAGCACTTTTGGGCTAAGGATGGATAGCTTATGCTTGGAGCCAAAGTGTTGGACGAAATTGAAGACCTAATTGAAGACCAAAGTGTTGGAACCTTGTTCCCTTTAGTTCTAGGACATTTAAACCTTTCCTATATCCATTGCACATGCATTCCTTTAATCCACATGCATCTCCATAAATCATCCAACACACTTTCTCTCCCAAAAACCGTACACACCATTCACCCTAGATTCTAATCAGCCATTCACCAAAACCATTTCCCTTTGTGCCGTGCACATGCATACACACTTCATTTCAGCCACATGCAACCATTAAACATTCAATCATTTCACTCCACTTAATGCCGTGAGTTCCCATCAGATTTCCAACCTAATTCACATGCATTCCATCCTTTAATTCACCCACATGCACTCATAATCATTCACACCTTGCATTCACATGCATTTCCAACCTAATCACTCACCCACACAATCTGCCATCATTCACTAACACCATCATTGCCGTGCATCTCATTCCATCTCCCATTTCAGATTGCATTCCATTCATTCCAGCCAAGCCACATGCACTCCCTTTAATTAATTCATCCTAGCTGTCAAAGCACATGCACATTCACCCTAATCATTCACATAGCTTTAATTCACATGCAAACACATTGCATTACCATTCACCACCAGAAAATCACCATCATTGCCGTGAGTTTCATACACTTTCCAGCCATTCCACACACCAACCAACCTAGCTGTCATGTTTCCCCTTTCATCATTCCCTCACATTCTTTAATTCAGCCAACACATGCTTGCACATGCATTTCCAACCCACATGCATCCTTTAATCATTCAAACATGCAGCCACATTCCCTCCTAGCTGTCATGTTCCCCCCCATTTCGCCTATAAATAAGCATTCATTCCCATTTATACAGATTCACTCTTCCATTTTCAGAAAATCATCCACAAACACCAACCATTCCCTTGTGCCGTGCTCTCTCCCTAATCATCCAAACACCACACCAGAAATCATCCCATTGCCGTGGCCTCCTCCTTCCATTTTCACCACTCCCCAAACCATTCACACCATCAAACTATCCTTAGACCTTGTGCTACAACGAAGAGGAAGATAAGAGGGCCTAAACGTTAATACAATTCAAGTTTGAGTTGTTGGAATGTTTAGGTGTTTCTTTGATTTCAATGTTTAATTTCAATACCCTTTGTTTTGTACGAATGAGGAATGGAAGAGAAGAGGGCCTAAACGTTCATACAATTCAAGTTTGAGTTGTTGGAATGTTTAAGCGTTTCGTTGATTCTCTTTGTTTTGTATCATGAGGAACTAAAACCCCCCCTGGTTAGGGGGGGATTCGAAATATATGTTTATGCTTGCATTTTGATTTGATTACTTCTAATTACGTTTCATAAGTTGTGAATTCAATTTGTTTAACTATTTGATTGATAACCTATTTATGTATGCTTATTGAGAGTTCACGCTTAATTTTCATGCATGAATTTGACGCTAGAATATAAGTAAGTTTCACGTAATAGTTATGAACTTATATTCACAAGTAGTGGAGGTTGCTTATAAACAATCGCGTTAAACATATTCTTGGCATAAGTTTCATGCAATCATAGTAACGAATGCCTCGTCAACACTTATAGTTTTCATGTTGCTTAATGATTCTTGCTTGTATCTCTATTATGCAATTCATGTAGGGAACTTGTGAGGAATGCTTTGGGTTGTCGTATGCAATCATCCAATTCATTAACTTAAGGAAAACTTGACGGTTAATTTAAGCGGACCTAATTAACCCGGGGCGTTGAGAATTCATGGTTTATTGAAATGCAATTGGAAATCTTTTTATTATGCAAGTGTAACATGTGTGGAGATGAACCCCTTAGCTAGTCATCCCATCCATTCAAATCCATCACTTTCATATTTACATTCTGTTTTTAATTAGAATCTGTGCAATTAGTTTAATTTAGTCCAAAACTCAATCCCCCTTTACTTTAATGTCCAAATTAGTTAGAAATCAATTTAGTTTGTTTTTTTAAGAGTCTTGAGTTAAGTTACAACTTAATTTCGTCCAAATTTGGGTTTAAGGTCAGAAACTGCCTAGTTAGTGTTTTTAGGCAGTTTTGAGTCTTTTGAACTTGTTTTGAGTCCTTTGAGTCTT